TGGCCAGGATCATGGTCTCGAGGACGACACTAACCAGAGAAAGGAGACCACTCTGGCCACCATTTCCCTTGTCAGTTCACGTATGAAATGTCACTGAATGAAAAATAAAAACAGAGAGAGTCCCAGGACAGAGCCCTGGGGATCAGAACGCCATCGCAGTCGTCACTCTCACGACGACTGGCAAAGGAATAACAATAGAAAGGACAGTCATGTCTTCTGCTAGCGGTGCCTCGTTCAGTTTTCTTAAGATCGAGACTCGTGTACGTAAAAGGAACTAAAGCGTCGCTGTTCCTCTCCGCCCGCAGGTCACCTTCTACCACAACGGCAAGGTCATCAGCGAGCTCGACGACGCCCGCTACACCGTGCACGCCCCCGACGCCAGCGAGGAGGAGGGCGCGCCCCTCACGCACGTCATGAAGGTGGCCAAGGCGAGGCCCGAGGACGAGGGCGTCTACCAGTGCTCCCTCGACGGCTACAGCTCCTCCTCCGTCACCGTCGCCGTGGAAGGCAAGGGCGCCGCTCTCGGGGGTTGTCAGTTTGTGATGCTGGACTGATTATGTGTGTGCGCGTGTGTGTGTGTGTATGTATGTATGTATGTATATAATATATATATATATATATATATATATATATATTGTGTGTGTTGTGTGTGTGTGTGTGTGTGTGTGTGTGTGTGTGTGTGTGTGTGTGTGTATGTATGTATGTATGTATGTGTGTATGTGTATGTATGTGTGTGTGTGTGTGTGTGTGTGTGTGTGTGTGTGTGTGTGTGTGTGTGTGTGTAAAATAATATATATTGTGTGTGTGTATGTTTATATTTACACATGTGTTTTATTATATACACATATACTTACGTATGATATATATACACATATATATGCACATGATTGTATATGTCAAGCGCACTCATGTGTGTGTTTGCGTTTACGTGCATTATGAATAGTTTCTCGTACTTAGCAAACCTTGATAAAGACGAGAAAAAGACCCACATGAATCATAAGAGAATCCAGTCCGCCCCCCCTCACGCCACCTTGATAAAGAGAGAAAAAGACCCACATGAATCATAAGAGATCCATCACGCCACCCCCACATGAATCCTAGAGAACCCCCCCGCCCCCCCCCCCGACCCCCCGCCCCCCTCACGCCCACTGAGCACCGCCCACCTCCTTGCAGAGCCTCGCGAGGAAGTCCTGGCCATCGCCGCGTCCGCCGCCGTCCTCGGGAGGGACTTCAACATCACGTGCCGAGTCCAGAACTGGGACGAGGATGTGAGTCCAGACACGAGTTTTTTTTTTTTTTTTTTTTTTTTTTTTAATAATTAATCGTAAATGAAGGTTGGAGTTTTTTTTTTTTTTTTTTTTTTTTTTTTTGTTGATTCGGAAAGTGGAGAGGTGTGGAGTGAGATGTTTGTGTGATTTTTTTTTTTTTTTTTTTTTTTTTTTTTTTTTAGCGTAGGAGGATCTCTTTCTTTACGTAATCTTCAAAAATGTGAATGAAAAAAAAAAACACTTTGCCGTGATGATACTATGGTAGAAAAAAACGACAATTCATAAACTACATTTATAGATCTAGTTTGTGCATTGTGGAGTTTTCTTTGTGGATTTTTAGACTCATGTGTGCTTGCCTTATGTCGCATTTCATTTGTAACTATGTGGTTTAATAGTATGTAACTATGTGGGTATGTAACTATGTGGTTTAATAGTATGTAACTATGTGGTTTAATAGTAATACTATGTGTTTAATAGTATGTAACTATGTGTTAATAGTATGTAACTATGTGGTTAATAGTATGTAACTATGTGGTTTATAGTTAGTAACTATGTGGTTAAATGGTATGTAACTTCGTTCATTCTTCGCGCACTTAACTATGTGGTTTAATAGTATGTTCAATTCTTAACCATGTACATACATACATAATACATCTAAAAAGCATTCACGTACTCACACACACACACGCATGTATATGTATGTGTGTATATACATACACGTATACACACACACACATGTATGTGCATGTATGTATGTATATATACACGTACACACACACACACGTATGTGCATGTATGTATATATATACACGTACACACACACACACACACACACGTATGTGGATGTATGATAATATATATATATACGTTTATTTAATATATACATGTATACAGTTTGTATGTGTGCTTGCATGTGACCTCGACCCGGCCGCAGGTGACCTTCGTGCACAACAACGTGGTGGTGGAGCCCGAGCGCGAGTGGCGCTACGAGGTCACCAAGCGCCCCGGAGAGCGACCCGAGGTCAGCTCCCACGTGCTCACCGTCACCAACGCCTCCCTCGACGACGCCGGCTACTACGAGTGCTACACGAGCCGGATGGCCTTCGATGCCGTCGCCGTCGAGGTCTGGAGTAAGTGTCTTCCCTCCCTGGGTCTAGGCTCGTTTTCGTCTTCTTCCTTCTCTCTTCCTCTTCCTTCTTTTCTTTTTCTTCCTCCTGCTCCTCCTCCCTCTTTTCTTTTCTTCTTCTTCTCTTCTTTCTTCTTCTTCTTCCTCCTCCTCTTCTTTTCTTTTTCTTCTTCTTCTCCTCTCTTCTTTCTTTTCTTAATTTCTTTTCTTTTTCTTCTTCTTCCTCTCTTTTCTTTTTCTTCTCTTCCTCTTCCTCTTCTTCTTCTCTATTTTCTTTCTTTTTTCTTTCTTCCTCCTCTTCTTCTTCTTCTTCTCTCTTCTTCTCCTCCTCCTCTTCTTTTTCTTTTTCTTCTTCCTCCTCTTCTTTTCTTTTTTTCTTCTTCTTCCTCCTCCTCTTCTTTTCTTTTTCTTCTTCCTTTCTTTTCTTTTCTTCCTCCTCTCCTTCTTTTTTTCTTTCCTCTTTCTTCTTTCTCCTCCTCCTCTTCTTTTCTTTTCTTTTCCTCACTTTTTCTTCATCTCCTCCTCTTCTTTTCTTTTTCTTCCTCCTCTTTTCTTTTTCTTCTTCTCTTCCTCCTCTTTTTTCTTCTTCTCCTCTCTCTTCTTCTTTTTCTTCACCTCTCTTTTTCTTCTTCCTCCTCCTCCTCTTTTCTTTTTCTTCTTCTTCCTCCTCCTTTTCTTTTTTCTCCTCCCTCCTCTCTTTTTCTTTTTCTTTCCTCCTCTCTTTTCTTTTCTTCTCTCTTTTTCTTTTCTTCTTCTCCTCTCTTCTTTCTTTTTCTTCTTCTTCCTCCTCCTCTTCCATCTTCTTCCTCCTCCTCTTCTTTTCTTTTTCTTTTTTCTTCATCCTCCTCCTCTTCTTTTCTTTTTCTTCCTCCTCTTTTCTTTTTCTTCTCCTCTTCCTCTCTTTTTTTTCTTCTCCTCTCCTCCTCTTCTTTCTTTTTCTTCTCCTCTTCTTTTTCTTCTTCTCCTCCTCTTTTTTTTTCTTCTTCCTCCTCCTTCTTTTCTTTTTCTTCCTCTCTCTCTCTTTCTTTTTCTTCCTCCTCCTCTTCTTTTCTTTTTCTTCTTCCTCCTCCTCTTCTCTTTCTTTTTCTTCTTCTTCCTCCTCCTCTTTTCTATTTCTTCCTCCTCCTTTTCTTTCTTCTTCCTCCTCCTTCTTCTTTTTCTTTCTTCTTCCTCCTCTTCTTCTTTTTCTTCTCTTCTCCTCTTCTTTTCTTTTTTTCTTCCTCTTCTTTCTTTTCTTTTCTTCCTCCTCCTCCTCTTCTTTCTTTTTCTTCTTCCTCCTCCTCTTCTTTCTTTTCTTCTTTCTCCTTCTTCCTTCTTTTTTCTTTCTTCCTCCTCCTCTTCTTTTTCTTTTTCTTCTTTTCCTCCTTCCTCCTCCTCTTCTTTTCTTTTTTTCTTCTTCCTCCTCTCTTCTTCTTCTTTTTCTTCTCTTCTTCCTCCTCTCCTCTTTTCTTTTTTTTCTTTTTCTTCTCCTCCTCTTCTTCCTTTTCTTTTTCTCTTCCTTCCTCCTCTCTCTTTTCATCCTCTTCTTCTACTTTCTCTTCCTTTTCTTCCTCCTCCTGTTCTTATTTTTCTTCTTCCACCTCCTCCTTTTCTTCTTTTCTCTCCCTTCTTTTTTTTTCTTCTTCCTCCTCCTCCTTCTTTTTTCTTCCTCCTCCTTCTTCTTTTTCCTTCCTTCTTCTTTTAATTCCTTCCTTCCTCCTCCTCTCTTCATCTTCCTTCCTCATCATTTCCTTCCTCCTCATCTTCCTTCCTGGTCTGTCACCTCTCCTCTCTTCTTCTTCTTCTTCCTCTTCCTCCCCGCTTTTCTCTTCACTGTCTCCTCTCCTTCCTCCAAGTTGTAGTTAAAGCAGTGCGGAACTTTCCTCTCAAGTTCCTCTCAAACTTTGCTTCGCCGCCAAAACAAACACAAGCAAACCAACGCTTGACAAGTTACTCTGAACAGCCACAACAAAAACAAAAGAGAAATGCAGCACCCGAAGGCATTTCCATAGACTTTCCGCTCCCGAAGAACATTCAAAAAGAAAAAAAGAAAGAGGAAAGAAAGAAAGAAAAAGAAAAACAAAAGTACGGGTTTAGCCTTAGCGTTTCCCACAGAAGGAGGGTCCGAGCTTTGCTCCGAAACGTGGCGAGTCTTGGTGTTCCTTCCCCCCTTTTTCTTCCTCTGTCTCCTCCATTTCCTTTCGCCTTTCTCATCTCCTCTCTTCGCCAGGGGAGGCAGACGTGACGCTGGAGCTGCAGACCCTCGACCGTCCCAACTGGATGGACGCGCCCATTCCCATGAACTGCAAAGTCGCGGGCGTGGATCCGAACAAAGTGGTGAGCTCAGTGGTTCTCTTCGTTTGTAACTCAAGAATTTTTAGATTATGTTTCTTTGTAAATTTATATAGTTTATAGATTTGTCATTACTTGATAATAATTTGTAACTATGTATGTATGTCATATGTGTTATGTAACTAAGATAAGTCCTCCCTCTTTGCGAAGAATTTCAGCTAAACGTACTTAAAACCTTCATCATATTCATTAGACATGGAATGAAAGCGCCCGCTGTGCATGTAGACGAATTCTCAAAAGGGTCTTAGGGAATAACCAGTTTCACCTTGAGATCT